TGAAAGATGATGACGAACTTTAAAAGATATTGGAATAAATTTAATGAAAGGTCTGATTCCCTTTCTAAAATAACTGAATCAGTGGTGCCTTCTAAAATAATGGAACAACAGTCTTACCTTTGGGAAAGGACTATAAACTTCTTAAAAGAATCGTCAAGTCACTCCAATAGGTGGTTCTTGAGAAAACCAAAAACCACCGGTGACAGCGTCTATTATAAGTTCCTCATGTGATTTATGTATCCAGATTGAGTCAATACAACTTTTACTTCTAATTTCTTCCTTAAAAATTTGATAAAACGTATATTCCTGTTTATCCCCATTATAATATCTATATGTGTCCATATATCCACTCCAAATAATTGATTAGAGTAAGTTGCTTTCCGGCGATGTTTTAGTTTTTACAGGGAATCTATCTTTACTTGGGTCAGTGGTGGCATTCCAATCTCCCATTATTATTGATATCCAGTTGTTTGATAAGGCTTGTGCGATATGATTGTAAAACCAAGGTTTTAGTTTTCTCAATATGGTATTATTCGATGAATATTTGTTTGGTGCGTAGATTCTGATAATTTGAAAAACTACCCTTCCTTTAAACTATAAAAAAATACATATGCCATGTCCTTCGAATTTATCTATTTTATATGCGTGTTTAGCTATATTTGATTTTATCATAAGGCCGACTCCAGATCCAATATTATTATTATAAGCTTCTGTTGTTGATGACCACCAAATATTATATAATGGATCTTGTAGGTTGGACGTTTGGTTTTGTTCGAAAAATATAAATTTTTCCATCTCTTTGGTTGTTTTTGTTTCTGTTAATAGGACTACGTCAAAGTTTTCTTCAATACAGTAGTTCCACCACGTATTTTGTTTTACTATGTCTCTCAAACCCCTGGTATTTTGCGTACCCATTTTCCATATTATTTTTTGATTATTCTCATCATTATTATTTATGCTAATATTATTATTATTATCATCATTATTATGATTATTATTATTATTGTTATTATTGATATTATTACGATTATTATTATTGTTATGATTATTATTAT